AGCTGGGAAGAAGGCTGCTGGCAGTGACAGCTGAAGGAGCAGCAGCAGCCGTGACCTGAACCCAGCAGGGAAAGGGGCGTCTCCGTGTAAGAAAGCCTGGGACTCCACATCTTTTCATCTCCAGAGCAGCTCAGAACCCTCATTCACACCTGGCCCGGACTCCAGGACAAACCCAGGGTTCAGGCAGCAAAATGTGGGAAAAGCACAGACCAAGTGCGGCACCTGGGCCAGGCAGGGGAGTGCTGGGAGGTACCAGAGCTCTCCAGGGGCTCAGAACCCCAAGGAGGTTAGCCAGTCTCAGAGTGGACACGAACTTACAGGCAGGAGCGCACAGCAGCAAAGCGCTACTTCCACGGGAAGCTTCAGATAAATCAAGGATGATTTTACAGTTGAATTTTGCTTCTTACCGAAGACACAGCCATTGAATGCATCAACAGGAGTTTTGAATTAATAACAAATCATGAAGGCGTTTTCACTCTTAGTGTGTGGGCCTCCACATTTTCCTGGAAACATCAGAAGAAATGTTAAAATTCTGCTGTATAAGTAACAATTTAAAATTCAGTTTGGTGTTACATGAACCTGATGTTTAAATAGTTAAATCTTTTAATAACTTTTTCATAGAAAATTTCTAATTCTAGCTACATTAAGATTTATGTTTCAAAATTATCTTAATGCACTGCCTGTGCAATACTCTTTATCCAGCTGCATCAGCAGATTTCTGTAAAAAAAAATGCCGCTCCAAGTCTGTTGGTGAGATAACAGATGAATTTGCAATTCTGCTAATAAAATATTATTATTTAGTCTACTAAAATTATGACACCAAAACTATCATCTTACAATTTGAAAGCTTATGTTGTTATTTCTCTGTAACTGTTATCCCTTTTATAAAATTATAAATTTTTTAAAAGAAAAAGCTTATCACTCACTGCCTCTAACACATTTCTTTTCTTGGTCTTTGCACAAGCAGCTCCCATGTTTTCATTTTGATTTTAGCTTTGCAAATTCTATAGCCAGCCCTCTTTTGGCCGCTGTTACCTAAGTGACACCATTCAGTCCTCGTCTGCAGACCGCGGGATAGCGCGGCTCAGTTTCACAGGATCCTCCAAGCACTAGGAGACACGTCCAAGGTTATCTCAAGGTCACGTGGCTGCCATGTCCCTGCCAAGGAAACCAGCCTCTCTTCCAAGTCCTGTTGCTCTCTTCCCTTCTGCAGCCACCACGGTGTTGAAACGACTTTGCCCCTTTGCTCCCCACTGCCTCAGAGCTGGAACAACTCTGCAAACGCCAGCCTCCCCTGGTACTGCTGGCATCCTCCCCAACCTACAGAAAACAGCAGGATCCAGAACACGGGGGCTTTGTAAGGGAGGAGCGTGGCCGCTCACGACTGCCACCGTGTGGTAGTTCCTTGTCTATGGCGCCGCGAGGTGTGGGTTCTTATCCCATTTGCCGGAAGCCAGCGCCTACACCCAAGGCATCTGGGAATTATATTTTTCTCCTTAATGAACACAGTGAGAGTTACAGTGTTTTTACTGATCTTCTCAAAATCAGCTTTTATTTTTAAAAATTTTATTGGGTGCCTATTTTATTTATCTACTTGTATCTTTTCTATTTACTTTAACTTCTTTTTTCTAGTTTCTAGTGGAGTGTCATTTGTGAGTTTTCCTACTTTATTTTACAGAAATATCTGTTGCTATAAAATTCCCTCTCAGCACTGTTGTAGCTGTATTTCTATAAACTTGGCAATACTCTTTTCCTTTTTGATCACTTCAAAATATTTTATAATTTCTCTTGTGATTTATTCTTGAATGGTTAAAAGCAAGCTGATTAATTTCTAAATAGTTGGGAATTTTTTCAAGATGTCTGTTTATCAATATTGTGTAAATTCCACTGTGACCAGATGACCTATTTTGTATGCTTTTAAATTGTTTGGGGTGTTTTGAAACTTGTTTTATAACTCAGTCAGGACTATGTTGAGTGACACTTTAATGCATTCCACTCTTCTGGGTGGAGTACTCTATAAATTTCAAAAGGTCACGTTGAATGATACTGTTGTTCAAGTCTTCCTTAAGTTCTCTTGTATTTTGTTTATTCATGACAATAAAAATTGCTGACATATCCAATTGTAATTATTAATTTTTCCATTCTTTCATTTTTACTGTTTTTCTTTAAGAATTTTGAAATCCTGTTAGTAGGTACACGCAGATTTAGTATTTATTTGTGTTCTTGGTGACTTAAGCATTTTTCATTAGGAAAAATACCTCCTGCTATCCCTGGTAATATTCTTTACTCTAAAGCCTATTTTGATTTATAGTCAAAAAGCCAATAAAGTCCATTCTGCTTGCTCTAATGCATGTGCACATATTCATGTGTTTCCCTCTTTTCATCTTTAACCTCTCTTCGTGCTCATGGTTGACGTACAAAGTGGGGGATCATAGGCAGCCTGAGCTGAGTGTTGGCTTTTCTTGACCTGACATCTCTGCCTCTCCAGAGTGTGGGCAACATGCTCCAACCATCCCTCAGAGTCAAGTTTCTCATGAATAGTTTTCTTATTGCCTGAATGTTATAGTGCCAGGGAGGAATTCCTTTAAATTTTCCCTGTTGTTATTGTCAGAAAACGTTGCTACCTTCACTTCTGAAATGCATGTTTGCTGGTATGGAACTCCAGGTCCACACAGCTGGCTGCATAGATTCTGCAGAGCCTGATCCATTCCTCATTCCATTCTTCTCTATGGAATGTGTGTTTCCTTATCCTGCTTTCAGCTGTTTCTTTTCATCATTGATGTAAGAGAATTTGATTGCGAAAGGCTTGCTGTGGTTTTGTGTGCATTGTGTTGGATTACTTTAGATCCTAAGTTTGTGTGTTTGGAGCCTCCTCAAATTTGGAAAACAATTCACCATTGATTCCTTGGCTGTTTCTCCCTCCCCAAATTTTCTTCTTACTTCACCCACACATACGTGTGAAACTGCTTGAGGTTTCTGTCACTGTGAGTTTGTTTTCGTCCTTTTTCTCTCTCTTTGATTTATTTGTTTTTTGGGGGAGTCATAAAGATGTTGGCCTGTAGATCTTTTCTTCTTTTATGTCATACACTCCGAGTCCAATTTAGCATATATTTTTCGAATGTTATTTTTCATATCCAAAAGTCTCATTTGGTTCTTTTGTTTCTTTGTTTTGTTTTTGGTACCGGGGATTGAACTTGGGACCTTGAGCTTGCGAGGCAGGCGCCAGAACCACTGAGCTAAATCCCCAGGCCTCATTTGGTTCTTTGTATCTTTCATCTCTTTCCTTGTTGTGAACAAGTTTTCCTTTCAGCTTTAGACAAGTTATAAAGCTGGTGATCGCTCCTTTTCTTTGTACCCCTCTGGCTAACAGTAATGTCTCTGCCAACCCTAGGTCTGTTTTACCGAGTGACTTTCCTCCTGATTGTCCCCGAATTCCTGCTTCTTCTCATGGGACAAGGTTTGATTGGATTCTGCACCCCAGGAGCCTAAATTAATAAGTGATGGATTTTGCCCTCAAAGAAAGACAGGATTTATTTCCATTCACATTTAGGTTTTGCGCAGGTCACTTTGGTCCTTTGAAGAAAGATTTTCACAGCCTCATTAGAGTTGCAGACAATTTCCTACAGACCCAAAGGCAGCACTGATGAGGCGATTTCTTTCAGAGGATGAAGCTCTCTGTTCTGCTGGTGGGGATGCACCCTCTTCCAGCCCTGTCTGCACTACTGCACTTGACACCCAACCTCTTTTGGGTTTTGCTCCCCTCCAGCCTTATGAATTTTTACCCTAAGTGCACCAAGCCCAGCACTGAGGCCAAGATCAAAGCCTCCTCCCAACCCCAAGGCCCTCAGCAGCTCTGCCCCTCCCAGTGCTGCCCCTACCCCAGGAATTCTGCCCTGGAAACCTGGGTGTCCCCTGCCTGCCGTCTGGTTTCTGTCCCTTCTGCACTGTGGCATTGCTGCTTGTGCGAATTCTGCTCCCTGTGCCTTGGCTGTGGGCAGGGGCAGTCATGAGCCTCGCTGCTTTTCCTTCCCTTCTGCAGCCCCGGTCTGGCTCCAGTGCCTGATGTGTGAAAACAACCATTTCACATCTTGCATCAGGTTCCATCCCTAAGCCCCGTCAGAGCGCAACTCCCACAGCAGTAAATCCTTGTGGTGGAAGATGAGGTTCAGCTCTTATTTGAGGTTCCTTGCTCTCCTCTTCCTGTGAGCTCAGTTGCACTGCCTTCCACCCTTGGCCCTTTGTCCGGATGCTGGTGTCAGAGAGCACAGACCCCCACCTAGCTGAACGGTGAACAAGCAGATGGCTCGAGTGCTCCTCCATCCAACAAGCACCTGCTGAGCAGCTCTCCTGCTCGGGTGCTGTCCCGAGTGGCCCACAAGAGACAGGACAAGGTCCTTGGTCCTGAGCCTCTTGCAGCCAGATGTGGGGACTGACAATGTGCAGAAACCAAGCAAGATCTGGAGCGGAGGACTCAAGTGCGAACCACGTCAGAGGGAAGACTGCTTGTACTGGAAAACCAGCTGTGTCTTCAAGACGGAGGGAGACTATGAGACAGCCCAGGCTGGGGTAGGTTAAACGTCAGAGACAACATGGGAGGGTCAAGTATACATCAGCTGTGAGACCAGCAGAGGACGCGCAGGAGACGGACTCACAACGGGAGTGTTTCAGGCAGAGTCAGGATCCATTTCTCTGAGGAGCGAAGGGTTCAGAAGGATGTGGGAGGCCCTGAGGGCTGCACTGAAGTTGTCGAGATAGATCTGAAGAGCTGAAGTCCTCAGTAGAAGGCCTGGAAAGTGCGAAGGCACAGTGATAGGAAGCAGAGGAGTGTTTCAGGACAAAGGGGCTGGGGCGGAAGTTACAAAGATGAGATCGATCCTGATAATGCATGGAAAATAATGATAGGCACCTTTGCAGATTCCCGGAGCGATTCTGCTTCGTCTGAATGAAAGGGGAGTCGTTGGTGGAATCTATTCGGTAACAACTACCACAAGGGCCGGGAGTATTTTTTAAATCAAATTTTTAATTTTTTGAAAAAAATATTTAATTCACTTTTATCTTTATATATGTTAAGAAAGCATCTCCCCACTGTCCATGTTCATGATGTTTCTGGATCTTCTATTTTCTCCTTCGGCAGCATTTCCGGCCCCTGACAGAGCAGTGGCCTATCTGGGTCTCCCGGGGAAGGCAGGTGAGGGCAGCACAGCGGCCGCCTCTCACCCTGCAGAAGTATCTCTGCACTGTGTTTATGAGCCCTCCTTCACCTGTGGGGAAAACACATGAGAACAGTTTGGAATCAGTACAGGGCCTTTGGAGTTCCTCACATAACTCATGTACGGTGTTTCTTTTACATTTTTTATCTATAGTTTTCGTTTTCCAGTAAAAATCAAGAGAACAGTCAAGGTACAGGTAAGCGACTGCTAGACCAGGTCTCAGTGGGTGCATCTCAGCTGTCAGCCCCCTCGGGACCTCGGAAGCGACCTTCCGTGGGAGCTCAAGGGACCCAGGCCACGGAGGTCCTTGGGCCTCTCAAGTGGTCCTGCCACGCCAGCGCTAACCACTAAACATAGTAAAATGGACCCATGCATCTGTTCTCAGGATAAATCAGTCTTTCCTGTTGGAATTAAAATTTCATATCATTTTTGTTCATGTTTTTCTAATAGTTGTCCTATGAAAAGATCAGGCAAGAGACAGCTTTTGTGAGTTATTTAGAATAGAACAAAAAAGACCAAGACATCTGCTTGAGGGTTCCTGGTGATTCTTGTCAGGAAGAAAAGTTAATGAAGCGATGGCAGGTCTCCTGCGCGCCCACGCCAGCCCCATCTGCATCCACAGCCAGACCCGAGCCTGACACGGAGATGCCCTTGGAGGGAGGTCTCACGCCTCACTGTATTTCCTCTAAAGCTCCCTGAAGGAAGGACAGGGACCGACTGATAACCCTGGCTTCTGTCCCTCTGTCTCTTACTGCCCAACCGTCTCACCTGGAGCAGGCATCAAGAACAGGAAGAGCAGCGCAAACAGGAGATAATGGATCCTCATGGCTGACAGCTTGGCGTCCCAGTGAGCCTGCACCGAACAGGGTGCTGGCACAGCCTTATAAGCTCTGAGCCTTGGTGCGATTCCTGTAATATCACAGTGATGACAACACGGCTTCCTGCTGTGTCACCCGTGCCTCTCCACAGCGGGCACGCCCCTGACCAGCAGTTGGCTGCACCGGAGCGTGAGGCTCCTCCGTGTCATGTCCTCCAGCACAGGGGAGGAGGAGCTGGTCCGTGTCCGGCTCAGGTCTGGTTGAGGATGTACGGGGAGCTGCTGTGGGCTGGCTTGTCCCCACTCTCGGGCTTTAACCTTTCTGTCTCTTCCTAAAAGCCTGGGAGCATCTGAGACCCTCCTGGGAACCAAACCAGTCAGGAACTGGATGCAGTCAGAAGGAGGGACCAGGAGTGGCTATTGGCTAGGGAGGAAAAAGGGACAATAGGTTAAACAGACATTCCTCATTTAACGACCTATCCATTTAGTGACTGTTCAGAATTATGACCTGTCTGTTTTGGGCAGTTCTGTATGTCTGCTTTGTAGAGCCTCAATGTCGTTTTTGTGTAGTGCACCTTGTTTATACAGTACTGTAATTTTTGCTGATTGCACTGTACAGTACGGTACAGTACTGTACTTTCATGTTCTGTAATACATTACAATACTGTATGTAAGAATTATGCAAGTGAAAGCAGAGTCATCAAGTTGGAGTTTGTCTTGGCCATTTCTTTGCTCGTAATATTGTACATGTCGTATACAATTCTGTATGTAGTGACCAATTTATCTGGAGACCTAGTCGCAGGAACAGAAGTTGGTCTTCATTAAGCAAGGAATGGCTGCATTGAGAAGCCCTTGCCTGGGGTCCTTGCCTGACGTGAGGCGCCTCAGCTAGAGTAAAACACAGGTATTCTGTGACTCTCTGAAAGCTACCCAAACTTAAGAATGAGGATGTTTGGTTTTTTTAAACTTCATCAGGGAAAAAGCACGCTGTGATGACACATTTCCTGGACTGGCGTCCTCATGGAGGACACTTTCTACACCCTACAGGGCTTTGGGAGGCAATGCTGGACCTCATGATCAAGTTCTTGACTCATGAGCTTTCAAGAGAGTCCAGGATTCAGGTGAAATTCAAAAGTACAGATTGCATTTTTGAAATGACTAGACTTAAATGTTAAGGAGTCTAATCAGTGGGTTCTATTTGTTGATTGACTACTTAACTGGGAACTAAAGTCACCATGATGCTGCCTGGCTGCTGCATTGTGTCAGTGCCATCATAACAGATCCACTGAGGTTCTGGGTGTGTATTCAGGGTACTGGGGTGCCCAGTGGATTCAGCAAGCAAAGAGAACACCTCCGGTAGCGTGGAAACCAGCTCATGTGCTCAGTGTGGGTTGGGGACTGATCGGGTAAGTTAAGAAACCAGGGAGTCTTGGTTTCTTTTCTTGAGAAGCTCCAGGTGGGTTTGGGCAGATAGGCAGGGGGGACTGGAAATGTGGCCTAGTGATAGAGCGCTTGCCTAGCATGCAGAAGGTTCAATGTTCAATGTTCAATGTTCAAAATGTTCACACAAAAAAGAAAGAAAGAAAGACAGAAAGACAGACAGACAGACCTGAAAAACAAGCATGTATAGGATAGATGCTAATTAAGTGTCATGGTAAGGGTTCAAGCCCAGGGCTGCTGGGTTGTGCCTAAACAGTGAGTCATGGTGAAGAACTCAACAGGGATTTAGCTCTGCATATTTAAGAAGACCTTGGAGCTGTCGATATTTTCATCTCTTAAAAATATAGCTAAAATTTTATCTTCAGTTCAGAATTGAAGACAGAGATATTTTAATGGAGGAGGGGGTGAGTGTGAGGTGCTGCGGGCGTTGCCTTTGCAGCCTCTCCGCATTCTAGGGAGTACAGGAGAGACTCGAGCTGGGGCTGGGTGTGGTGAATTAAACCAGCTCCTAGCACAGGGTGCAGGAGCAGCGTCAGCAGACTGTCACGGCACTGCAGGGAACTCGTTTTTCCACATTGGAAAAAAAACCCAACACCCCCAAAAGCAAATCTTTGCTTTGAATGTGTTCTCACAAGAGGCTTTTCTAAGGCAACACCACTCTTCACAAAATGTTCTTTGGGAATGAAACCTACTTCACATTTTAGTACTCTGGAAGCTATCGCTGGCACTTTGCTCTGTGTGCTATGCTTCCTGCAGCCCCGGGATGTTCATCTCCTAGGGACAGCTGAGCTGTGACTGGGAGAAGATACTGTCTTCTCCTTACCTCCAATCTATACAGCCGCTTCATAGCAAGTGGGCAGGGCAACAGATTTCACTGCACCAGGTAACTGAGTGGTCTGTCTCCACCACACTATATGGTGTGGACTAACCCAGGCAGCACATTTTCTTGGCATTTTTGCAGCTAGCAGGCAGGAACACACATTGAGGGCCCTTTGGCTTCCTGTAAATCCTGATGAATTTTGAAGATATTTTGATATTGTGCTCCATCTAGTGTATGGAGGCGGATTGATAGAAAGGCAGGAGACGGTGTGCAAAGGGACGAATGTTAAACACAAGGACTCCTGTCTCTCTGTGAGTCAGAGGACTCGAGATGAGTCAGAGCTGATGCAGCAGCCAGTGGAGAGAGGAGCACACTGTCCAGCAGCAGGGCCTAGAGGTAGGGAGCCCAGCATGGGGCTCTGGCCCAAGGGTAGTGTGCATATTTCAGACAATTTTGCATTTCATTTGATAGACAAGGAGGAGACATGAATTCATGAAAACCAGGCTAACACTTAAATCTCCCAATGTTCCAGCCTGGCCAACTGGTCCTCCCATAAAGACTGAAGAGAAGGCCTGGGAAAGATGCATAACATTGTGGTGATGAGCCTGGTGGTTACTTTTTCAAAAACCCTTCGTGCTTTAAGGACATTTATGCAATCCACCTGCAAATGTCCATCAGTATCTCGGGGGCACTGTGAGGCAGGCTGCTGACACCCAGGGACACCGTGGTTCCCAGCCACTCTGCCCTCCTGTGGCTCTCAGAGCAGCTCAACAGAATCTGAAGGGAAGAGAATCTCTGCCCGGGATGACTAAGAACCCAATCCAACAACAGCTGGATGACAGCAGGGAAGAGCTTCTCAGGGATCTCACACCAGAAGGCCCGAGGCTCAGCTGAGGTGGTGTCCTGCACTACTGTTTCGAGGCTGTCTTTCTCACGAGCAAAGTAATGAATTTGTGAAGTTGATACTTAAATTCCTCTTTGCCCTTCTGTGCAAGGTTCTCCAGACCTGGCGTAGCCTGCCTTGCTCCAGCTGTTCCTGTTCTGACCCAGACACTACTGCAGCCAGACTCCCAGTCTCCCTACCGCCACTGCTCACAGCTTCCCTCTGCCTCCCACTCGCACACCAGCAAACACACAGGCACCGCTTCACTTTGGGGAGCGGGGATAACTTGGCCCAGTGGTTCCATGTCCATGTTCTGTACCAAACCTGGCTTCCCTTCAAGAGAGCATCAGGACCACTGGATGCTGCCTGGGGGGGGGGGGGGGCAAGGGACACTGGGGAGAAGGGCATGGTGCAGTGGGGCCTCCTGGGGCCTCGGAAGAAGAGGGCACGTGGACCGCTGTCTCCATGGGGAGTCCCTGGGCAGCACCCATCGTGTGGAGAGCTGGGAGGGAGAGAGGGCACCAGTCACTAAAGGAAGGCCTCAGGTCCACAGAGAGGGTGTTCACGCCATGCTCAGGCCGGGGCTTGAGTGGTGAACTCTGGGTGGACATCAGTTGTCTCCTGCCAGGAAAGATGGAAAAATTATCCCCTGAATCCATGGAGCTTCTCTTTTGGACTTGCACTGCTTGGTATTGTTTTCAAGTAAGAGAATGCCTAAGTTAAAGAGCGAACACTCAGGAAGAGATGAAGGAAGCACATACAGGGCTCCAAGAGCCAGTGTTTTCTGTCTGGCTCCTGGTGGCCAGCCTGTGTTGTGTGCTCAAGGTTAAAAGGCAGGCAAGGGCCACCCAGGGAAGAGAGAGGCTGGGAAGTTCTCTGGGAATAAATATGCGTACAGGGCCTCCATGACCTTGGCAGCCCATGGGCCCCGCACTGCCCCTCCCGCTGCAGTAGAAGGAACAAACCCCACTGGCTGGGTCTGCAGTGCACATCCTCCTGAGGCCACTGGTGCACACCCAGGCTGGGACAGGGCAGGAGGGAGGCCCTGCTCTGGCTGCCTGGGCTCCCTGGCTGTCACTGAGGCCCTGGTGCCATGTTTTCACGGAATTAGATGGGAGCAGGGACAAGCTGCTGCCCAGCCGAGTCTCCGAATCTCAGATGCCTCCTCGAGTGTCTCCCTGCCACCTGCTTCTTTGCTCCCACTGTAGAGGGACTCTCCTTTCTGACACTCGTCTCTGCACCTCGGCACCCACGTCTCTAAGGCACGCACTGCTGCCCATCTCCCTCTCACCCCTCTCCAGTTGGATCCTTCGTGGGCTCCACAATCAGTCCAGCTCTTTATTTAGAAATAACCTGTCCTTGACTCCCTTTTCCTTTCCAGACCACAACCACACTCCTTTCATCCGTTATTAATTTCCTGAAACTTGTTCTTCTGATTGCTGATTTTTGATTCATCATGAACTTTTCTTTCTCTACCCAAAGTTCCTAAAGGGATCAACTTCAAGAATTTAGCATTATCATAAAAATGAGGACGATAAAGGTTTTACTCCCTTTCTCCTCTTCTTCCTCTTCCTCCTCACCATATTTTCTATGCCGGGCACTGCTAAACAATTTGCACGCATACATCTTATTTGAATCATATAATAAAGTGGAGAGAACGTCCTGCATTTTACAGACGAGGCCAGAGCTCGGAGGAGGTAACAGACCTCATGCTCTAAGTTCGGTGAGAAGTTCTCCCGCTTGCCCCTCTTGTTTAACAGAGCCCTTAACTGCCTCTGTGAAGATGCTACCACCTCTCTCTCTAGTCTGGATCACTCTCTCCCAATTTTCCTGGATGACAGTTACATCTTCTTGAGCATTGTTATGACTTCCGCCACCTTGATAACATCCAGCATGTTGTGGTCACCTCAGCTTGGAATCAAATCGTTCCTCTTTTTGTAACTATCACCTCCAC